TTCCTTGTAATCAGCCTTAGCTCATGGCTGTGTTTACTGCCTAGGGTTTGGATTAGGGTTACGCCTAGGGTTAGGGTTCTGAAATCCACAAAGTCCCAAGCTCCAGGCACACTGCAGCTGCTAAATGCATCCCAAGGGGAACACAAAATGCCAAAACATGGCTTCCTCCACAGCTTTTTCCTTGGAACCAGCCTTAGCCCAAGGCTGCTTTTACTGCTCTGCTTGGGGTTAGGGTTATGCCTAGGGTTAGGGTTCTGAAACCCACAAAGCTCCAAGCACACTGCAGCTCCAGAGGGCATGCCAAGGGGGACACAGAACTGCCAAAACATGGCTTCCTCCACAGCTTTTTCCTTGGAACCAGCCTTGGCCCAAGGCTGATTTACTGCCTCACCTAGGGAGCACAACTGTAGAGACGAGACCCACAATGCAGTAAGGGGAATCATGACCTAAGTTATCCTTTCCTGCTACTGTGATTCCAGACAGCTTCTGCAGCTGGGGAGATTTACAGTACATAGAGAATATCTCATGTGTGACATAGATAACAACGTTGTGTCCCTGGCAGACCTCTGGCAGCTGAACTGTCACTGGGCTGCTCAGAAACCACCAATGTATTGTGCATTACTTGACTTCATTCTTCTCATGCGCCTTTTCCTTGGGTAAATGGGTGAGAATCCTTCCTCCTGACTTCAGTTAGTTCCTAACATAGATCAAGACCTCTGGCGTTCTTCAAAGAGAAACATTGCAGAGATTTGAAAGCTAATAATTGTGTATTTTTTTCTCTCTGGTTTACACTGCTACTTTTGAGCTGAATCATGAGCTACTAGAGGAAATGAGGACAAGCATCACACCACACATCCTATACATGGCTTACTGGTGTCACTGTGCTCAGGGTGGCAGGGAAAGGTGTTGTGCAGCAGTGCTACACATGGTGGCTGAGAGGGACCTTACAGGAAGGAAAAGGAGCAAACAATCCATGGCCTGTGTCCCTGTTTCCTGTGTCAGCCATGAGATGGCCAAGCTGCCTCACCGCAGGAGAGGCCCAGCCTGTTCAAGTTTAATGTTAAGAAATTGACTCAGTGCTTATGCAAAAGGCATCAATTATTGCCCAAGCCCCCCCAAACCCCCCAGGATATCTCAAAATCCTTGCCCCACCTCATTTCCAACAGAGGCGTCACAGAAAGTGACTGAGATCAGCTTTCCTTTTATATGTTCTCCCTCTACCATGTTGGCAGCATAAAAGGATAGGCAAGTGGAAACTGTCCCTTAGGAAGACCTTTACAAGAGAAAAGCATTTATTGGCCTTAGTCTGATTGTTGCTTGGACCTTTTCAGAACAGATGGTGACTCTGTGCCAGTGCATCTGCCAGACTCTGCTGTGACATGAGCCCCACTGGAGGTGTTATGGACACAGTGTGCTCTGGCTCCCTTCTGCTTGGGACACCCTGAACCTTCGCAGCAGATGAGGAAGACAGGGACTCAAAGATTCTTCTTCCTTAATGAACCCCAAGAAGAAAAGCACAGAGCTGGTATGTGGGCTGGCTGCCCAGAAGGTAGCCCTGGGTTTGGGAAGTAAGATCATGGGGTTGTGTCAGTAGGGTTGGCTCACAGAGATGGCTCTGGCTTGGCAATCGCCGATGCAGTGAAGCCCTGCTTCCCTTCTGGTAAGGAGCAAGAATAGCTGGGGGAGGGTGATGGGCCAGAGTGGGAGCTAGAGTGTTCTGAAAGCTTTGCTGGGCGTTGGCAAATGCTCTGGACTTTGAGGGCCTAAGTATATTAATCTATTTAAATACCTTTTGCCCAGCATCCTAAGCAGTGGCTGGGCAGTCTCTGAGCCTGTGAACACTAACCAAACCCAAAAATGAATTTTCATCTCATTATCTTTTTTATTGGTTGTTTTTTTAGTTGAACTAATTAAAGGCAAGACCTGAGTTAAAATCTCAGGTTTTTTCAGGTTAAAATCTGTTTTTTGCAGGTTAGCTGTAGTTTAACATTAATGCCAGGGTTTGATACTGCTTATAATGGCAGTGAAGCAATTGTATTTTATGGTAAATATAAATCTCCTTATTTTACAGAAGTTAATGTAATAATAATAGTTTTAAGGCTCTCTTATTACCAGCTGTAAGTCTAATTTTCTAACAAGATGCTGCTAATTGCATTACTCTGGCTTCAGCAGTTTTCTTTGTGTCAGAGCCCCTTAGAGAGGCAGTAGATTCTCAGCCAGAGCTCTTGTTTTGGTCCTGTAAAATGTAGTTGTGTTGTAACAGTGCCTTCTTCTTAATAATTTTTATCTGCTTTATTAATTTATTGTGGTCGAGGTTTTGCTACATCAATTGCTTTTGCATTGCTGACAGTCTAACTGCATGTAGTTCAAACAGATCAGTATCCATAAACTCAAATGATTGTAATTACATTGGTCTCATTTCAGTGATTACAGCATTTACCACCTCACCAGCCTGTAGAACTTTGATTGTATTAGAATTCTCAAAACATTACATTACTTGAAAATTAATTTGGAAACCTATCCCCAAGAGTTTCTTTCATACTCTGCTTCTGTGAAAAATAAATGGAAAAGGGTGGCTTTGGTGTTCAGGGGCCCGTGGCCCTCAGATGCTGCCTGGAGTGAGTGCATTGCCCTCATTGCACAACAAGCTCCGATGGGAAATCCAGATCTCCCTGGGCTCTTGGAAATCATCACAAACTGGCCTGAAGGTGGCACTTTTGGACTGTGCTTGGAAGTGGAAGAAGAGCAGCTGAGACCTGCTGAGGAGGAATCCTGCTTTTGGCATCAGCCCCTGACTGTGAAGAAGGGTCTGCCAGCTGCTGGCTCTCTCTCTCTCTCTGTCTCTCTCTGATTTTGGAGGAGGATGGTCGGAGCTGCTGCTCGGGGAAGGGAATTCGCTGCCATGGCCATAACCCAGCCCAGAGCTGCTTCTTCTGCTTCTCCCTCAGTTCATCAATCAGCCAGGCCTTGCCACTGCACGCTCAGCTGCAGATCCTCATAGGTGGCATTGGCCCAGCTGTGACCCAGAGTCAGCTGGATTTTACCCCAAAAGAGGCAGGCATTGGATTCAAGCCCTGGGAATTATTTGTTTAATTCAGGGCCAGCCTGAGAGCTCCCCCAAAAGCCTTTGGTGTTTTTATGTGAAGTTGCCCAAGTTCTGCTCCCCTAGTGCTTGCTTGTTTCCCCCCTATGGTTACAGTTCTAGAATGTTCCACCCCTGAGTGTGTATATTGTTGTTTCCCCTTTGTTTGGGGTCTTTGGATCCTGCCCCTCCTATTATGCAGGCTTCTCCACGTTTGTTGTTTCTCACCCTTTAATAAAGTTCTTTCTGGGCAGCTCCATCAAAGCCACTCCTTTTCATTTTCACCACCCTCGCCTGAGGTCAGGGAACCAGAGAGGTTTGTCACAGCCACCCTCACTGTGACACTTACAGAAAAGCCTTTAAAAATATTCACACACCTTAAACGCAAGTCTGTCAATAACAGCAGCTGTGAGATCCCAAACACAGCAAACTGCTGGAGTGCTCCTGGGAGAATACCTGGGGCTGTGTCTGATTGCCTCAGAGCAGGAGCAGCCTTGCCCTCAGCAGCTCACAGCCCTGCCCCACAAGGATGTGTCACAGAAGGGTTGGTAAAGACCACAGGAGCCTCAGCTCAGGTGAGGCTTTCCACAGAGCCCAGAGATCTTATCCTGGAACTCTGAAAGCACAGGAGAATCAGGGGCCAGCCCTGGCTCAAGGCACAGCAACCCTGCTGAAACAAGAGAAGGGAGCAAAGGGCCGTGAACCGAGCTGGGCCGGCAGTGCGGGCATCCCAGAGCGGGCATCCCAGAGAGGGCATCCCCGAGCGGGCATGCCAGTGCGGGCGTGCCAGAGCGGGCATCCCAGAGAGGGCATCCCCGAGCGGGCATCCCAGAGCGGGCGTGCCAGAGCGGGCGTGCCAAGAGGGGGCGTCCAAGAGCCGGCGTGCCCCGCGGATCAGCGGGGCCACTGAGGCCACCGATTACGTGGGTGGGGAGGCGGGCCCGGGAGGCTGCCCAGGGGCAGCAGCAGAGGCACAGAGCGGTTTTGCTGCCCCGGGCCCCTGGCCTGGCCCGGCCCAGCCCAAGAATCGCTGCCATCATTCCCTGCACCAGGACCCGGCCCCACGGCGGCTCCGGGAGTTCCGAGTGGGCAAAACGGGAGCGAGGGAGAGGAGGCAGCTGGTGCCAGTGGCTGAAATGGCTTTGCTGCCAGCTGGCAGGGAGAAAGTGGAGCCAAGTGAAGGGGAGAGAAAGAGGGAGAAGGCTGGAGCGATGGAAGGCGGCAGGGATGGCCACGGGGCAGGCGGGCATTTTGCTTTCCAGCTCTGTGGGAGGAAACCAAGAGCTGTCAAATCCATGCAGGAAAAGAGGGGGAAAATAGCAGGTGGTGGAAATTGTTGAATATTGGGATTAATTTTATGTGCCTGAACTGCACAGGCCGACAGAATCCAAGCACCGCCAGCGTTGGGATGTGTCTTCCCTTGCCCCTGCCCTGCTGCAGCAGCCCCTGCTGAGACCCCCAGGGGCTGCGGTTCTTCTGTTGGGCCCTTTTTCTTAGCGCAGTTTTTTTTCGGAACAGGAAAAAAAACAAACCCTGTCGGCCGCCCCTCCTCGAGCTCGCCCCGGTTTTCAGCTCCTGGCTCCCATGGCATTTTTGAGCCGACCAGCCGGGCAGATACTGAGGGCCGATCTCCTCTCCCAGCGCCCGGCCCGCCAAATTGGCTTCCCAGATATTAAATGTAATCCCCAGCGATCAGATCTCTTCTTGGAGGCCGGCAGGCAGGCGAGCTCCCAGCCGCTTTCCCCGGCACGCTGCTTGGTAAAAGCGGCCAAAATCTCTCCCACACCCTCGGCTCTAACCCGCGATGGCGGCGGCCGTGCCCGGTGCGGGAGGCCGGGACAGCAGCAGGCGGCACCGGAGCCCGGCGAGGCGGAGCTCGGCGGCGGCCCCAGCCCAGTTCCAGCACCAAAGGTTACAGTGACACCTGCAACCCCGCAGTGCTGTCCCCCTGGCTGGGTTGGCTACAATGGGTCTGCTACTATTTCTCAAGGGATTTCAGCAGCTGGGAGCAGGCTGAGGAACGGTGCTCGGAGCTCGGGGCCTCCCTGGCCATTCTGAAGGATGAGGAGGAAATGGTGAGTGAGGGGCTCGGGCGGTGTGGGGTGGCTGAGGGCAGCCTGGGGGTGCTCCTGGGCCGGGCTCGGTGCTCGTGGGGCCGGGGCTGCAGCCCTGGGCCGGGGCCTTGCAGGGAAGGAGCCCCGGCGGGCGGGGGCAGCCCCGGGCACGGGTCCCCCCGAGGGCCGGGGCAGCTCCCACTCCTCTCTCCTGGGCAGGGTTTGCTCTTCCGCCTCCGCGGGAACGGCGATTACTGGCTCGGGCTGCGCAGACGGGGCGAGCGCCTGCACTGGGGGGACGGCAGCAGCTACAGCTCCCGGTGAGTGCCGGGGAGCCGGGCAGGGCCTGGGGCACAGGGCACAAGGTGTTCCCCTGGCAGCCAGCCTGCCTCTGCTCCTCCCTGCAGGGTTCCTGTCTTTGGCGATTCCGACTGTGTGTACCTGGCTGAGGAGAGATTCAGGAGTGAGAACTGCTCAAAGGAGCGGCCGTATGTCTGCAGCAAGGCCCAGGCTCCCCTGTAACAGGGGCTGCAGAAAGGACCTTCTCCACGCTGGGCAGTGCCAGCTTCACCTCTCAGCCCAGCCCAGGGCTGTCCTTGCTCAGCTGCACCCTGTGCCTTGCCCTCGCTCTCAGGGTCACCTCAGTGCCTCTTCATCCATGCCCAGTGCCAGCGCTGGGCTGGGTGTGCAAAGGAAAAGGCTCTGCAATCCATCCTGCCTCCCATGCTGCCTGGAGTGACATCCAGTCATTCTATGTGAGAAACACAGCTCTCTATTTACAGTTTTATAAAAAAGTTTATTGAGGGATAAAAGGGATAAAATCCTGCTCTGGGATACTTGGCTATTTCCAGATGATTAACTGAAATTATGTTCTCTATATATTTTTGCGTTACAGGGGGCACATCCATATTTTTCATATTTACATACTCAAACATTCCTTTGAGTTAACTTGTTTTTTTGTTTTTACTTTGGTTTTACTTTTTTGTTTTAACTTTGACTTGTCATCATGCCATCCTGTAAATTAAACTAATATATTTTATTTTTTCTTGTGGTTCTATCTTCTTGTATTTTCACTCCCTGATAATGAGGGCCAATTAATTGTTCTTTTTTTTTTAAGTGCTCTGGTTTCTGTTTCTGTTATATTGTCTTTCTGATCAAAAAGTCCCTGAATGTGGGAAATCACTTAATTATTTTACACCATTTTCTGAATTAGTTACATGAAAAAATTATTTCAACATTTCACAGTCTCTATTATGCTACACTATGTAATAGCATCTATTACACCACTATTTAAAAAAGCTATAGGGTGTATACATAAACTGACAGATTATACTATATCAAAAGCAGTAATTACATTGTGTACTATTTGAGGATTTTTGTGGTCAATAATAATTTGCAAAACAAAAGTTAATACATAAATGCAAAAGCCAATAATTATGCTTGTTTTTCACAACATTATACAAGCATGGTGAGTGAGGGGCTCGGGCGGTGTGGGGTGGCTGAGGGCAGCCTGGGGGTGCTCCTGGGCCGGGCTCGGTGCTCGTGGGGCCGGGGCTGCAGCCCTGGGCCGGGGCCTTGCAGGGAAGGAGCCCCGGCGGGCGGGGGCAGCCCCGGGCACGGGTCCCCCCGAGGGCCGGGGCAGCTCCCACTCCTCTCTCCTGGGCAGGATGGTTAAAAAAAGTCATGGGAAAGGCTGGCATGAGTGAAGGGAATAAAATACAGAGAATATTAAAAAATATTCTAAAAATACTGCATCAGTAACCACTCCCAAAGTGAAACAAAAAATAGCTGTGTGAGGGTCTGTGAGTCACGCAGGAGAGCGGTGTAGTGGTTCCACCATTCACTGAGCAGCGCTCGATTAAAAGAGACCTCTGGGAGCACAGCCAACATGAACAGACTTTGGCATGGTACTCCACAGTATGGTGAAAAAGAAAACAATCCAAATAGTTCTAGTACAGCTAGAAAGTTCTGTTGGATACAGGAGTGCTCCTGAAGGGAGCAACAGCAAGGGACAGACAGCACTCTGGATTTTCAGAGGCAGTCAGACCACTTGGCTAGAGAGAGGTGCAAGAGAAAACTCCAGCTGCTACAGAAAAGGTCACTGTGGCCACCGTGCCAGCTGTACACAAGTTTTACTCACCCTGTTTCCACTGTGCTCAGGATTCAGCCACTTTGGGAGAAAATCAGCTGCTTCTATCAAGAGAAACTCTCCATCGTTGTCATCAATACTGGCCAAGGAGAAATTGGAAATTTAGTAGGAAAAGCCTTGCAGGGCACAACAACACACTTCTGAATCCATGTCTGCTGGGGTTTTTTAATATTCATAAACCCATAGAAAGGCGTTGGTTAGAAGGGAACTTAGAGATCATCTGGTTCCAAGCGCCCTGCCACAGGCAGGCACACCCTGCACTAGCCCATGCCCCTTGGCAGCCCTCCCACACAAGCAGCTCAGCCTCACCTGGCTGCCAGCCCCGGGAACTCCCTGGTGATCTCCCGGAGCAGGTACACGATGAACCACTCATCCTCCACGTTATCCCCGAACGCGGTGGTGCCGCCCAAGTGCGCCGGGGTCTCGCCTGGACGGGGCACAGAGCGGAGAGGCGGCTCAGCAACGCCGTGCCCAGGAACAGATTGTCCACACGGGCTGCGGGTCTCCCTCTCCGGGGATATTCCAGACCCCGCTGACAGAATCTTGTGTCCTGTGCTCGGGGATGGCCCTGCTGCAGCAGGGAGGTGGCACCAGATGCCTCACGGGGTTAACCCGTGCTGCGACACCGAGAGCCTGGGAAGCCGCCGGGTGCCCCTCACACGGCCTCGGTTCCCCTCACACGCTCCCGTTCGAGCCCGCCGGGTGCCCCTCACACGGCCTCGGTTCCCGGCCCTCAGGACCCCCTCACACGCCCTCAGTTCTCACTCACAAGCTCCCGGTTCCCAGCCGCCGAGTCCCCCACACAAGCGCTCGCTTCCCGGCCGCCGGGTCCCCCTCACACGGCCCGGGTCCCCCTCACACTCCCCCGGTTCCCGGCCGCCGAATACCGTTGACATGCCCTCAGCTCCCCCTCAGTCGCTCCTGGTCGGCTTTCCGGCCGCCGGGTCCCCCTCACACGCTCCCGGCTCCCGGTTTCCCCTCAGACGCTCTCGGGTTCGACTACGCCGTGTCCCCCTCACACGCCCGCAGCTCCCCCTCACGCGCTCCCGGTTCGAGCCCGCTATGTCACCTTCACACGCCGTCGGTCCCGGCTCTCCCTCACACGCTCCCGGTTCCCTCTCACGCGCTCCCGGTTCCCGGCCGCCGGGCTCCCCTCGCAGTGCGGCGCCGCAGCGGCGCCCCGCCGCCCGGGCCCGCCGCCGCCGCCGCGAACAGGCGGTAGCGCACCGCGTCCTCGGGCAGCGCCGGCCGCCGCAGCGCCCCGGGGAGGACCGGCGCGATGGCGGCGGCGGCAGCGCTGCGCTCTCTGCCGGGAGCCGCTCCGTGTACCTGCTCCGGGAGATCACCAGGGGTTCCCGGGGCTGGCAGCCAGCCGGCTGTGCCGGCTGCGTTGGGATTTAGTGCCAGCCTTGGCTTTCCTCCTCCCTTCTCTTCTCTTTTCTTTTCAAATCTGAAGAGGCCTCAGCTACCTGCCTATTTCCTTCCTCTCTCACCTTCCAGGTCCTGTTTCCCACACCTTGTTCTTTCCTTTTAAAAGCCTTGATAATAACCCGTTCCCCACTCAAGGCTTTGTTGGATCCTTGTTTTTCTGCCTTCTGGCTGCTGTAGGTGAAGGTCTGGCTTTGAGGAGCACACCCTGCTCCCTCTGCTCCAGAAACCAGCCTTGGAGTTATCCCAATCTCCTGCTGGTTCTGGGGGCTTCCTTAGGCCCTTGCTGAAATTAGAAGCATCCAGGAAGCTTTTCCTTTCTTGAGATTTGAACGGTTTCTACAACTCCTTGAGATGTCAGCAGGATGGTTAAAACCCCGCTGTGCAAATGAAGGTTTTCCCCCACTCCAAGCTCGATCCTCTTCCTTGCTTTGTCATCTCAACAACTGCTAAGGAAATCTTTCTAGTCTTGTCAATTGGCAATGCAACTGCTCCTTAATTGGGGTTTGTCACTATTGAGTCAGAAATGACACAGATAAATAAATTACACACTCCATGCATTCACAGAAGGCTAATTCTCTTGATTAAGGAACCTATTGCTTTTCATAGTCTTGTTCCCTGTGAAAAACGCCAATCACTTGTTTTTAAAATTTTTAAAAGTTTAATCGTAATAAAATGGTTATAAAAATAGTAATATAATTAGAGTAATAAAATTTGAACCATTGAGATTAGGACAATATAAGACAATAAAAACAAAGAGATACGGACGTCCGGGTACCTTTTTCAGGGCAACACAAGCCCAAAAAAGGACCCCCGTTAACAGAGGATTAACCCTTAAAAAAAAGTGCCTGTTGCATGTTCACACACCTCACACATGATGCATAAATTCCATTCAAACAAAGGATCCTGTCTGGTCAGTGTCACCTTCTCTGAATCCTAATGGCGTCTTTTGACTGAACAAGGCGGGAAGAAGTTAGTTTTTTGCTGATAAGGGAGCAATAAATTCACTTTCCCTGAAAGAATCAGGTGTCCTATGGCTGCTATCTGGTGCGAGTCCTTTCTTTAAAAAAGTATCTTACAAAGCATAGTTTCTATTTTAACATTATGTTATAACCTAAAACTATATTTAACACACTACTTAAGAAAATTAACACAGCATAACTTTCTAACATAACGCATACAAAATTCATTTTAATACTTGCGAAAAGCCGATCATAAAAAACACATTTTTCACATTTCCTACAGGTGGACCTGATTGGTCCTTTAATTAAAACACCACCAACATTGACTAATTAAGAAGCCACCCTTTTGTAAACAACCTTATGGGCAAAACAGTGAGTGACCGGTGAGTGATCTCTCCCTGGCCTTTCCCGACCCTCGAGCCTTTCCTGCTGTGTTCTGTTGCCTGCCCAGGGGCAGCAGCAGAGGCACAGAGCGGTTTCTCTAGCACCGGGCCCAGCCCAAGAATCCCCGCGGTAATTCCGGGCTGAGAGCCCCAGAAGCTCCTCCCCCTGAGAGCTGAGGTTCTTTTAAGCCACGGGATTTACGAGAAACGAAATAGAAAGGACCTGAAGTAACCCCTACTTCCTACCCCTCCTCCCTGCTTCCTCCTGATTGGCCAATACGGCACAAAACAGCCACACCGGCTCTGTGCTGCGGCCCCGGCTCGAGTGCCCGCTGGGTCCGGCTGGCACCGGAGCGCGGCGGCGGCTCCAGCCCAGGTGGGACCCGCGGTCGGTGCTGCCCCAGCCCGGGGGCAGCGCTGAGGGGCACGGGGAGTTCTGGCGAGTTCCCTGTGCCGGCTGCCCCCGTGTCCCCCCTGCGCTGGGATGGCCGAGGGAGCGGCTGCCCGCGGTCACAGAAACACAGAGTCACTGGGATGGGTTGCAAGAGACCTCCAAGATCATCGAGTCCAACCCAGCCCTGATACCTCAACTAAATCATGGCACCCAGTGCCACATCCAGTCTGTTTTGAAACACAGCCAGGGATGGTGACTTCATCTCCTCCCTTGGCAGACAATTCCAGTATTTTATCACCCTTTCTGTAAAAAACTTTTTCCTAATATCCAACCTATATTTCCCATGGCGCAGCTTGAGACTGTCTTCTCTTATTCTGTCAGTGCTGCCTGGAGAAAGCCCCTACCAGCCCCACCTGAGCACAGCCACCTTTCAGGGAGTTGCAGAGATTGAAAAGGTCACCCCTGAGTCTCCTTTTCTCCAGGCTGAGCACCCCCAGCTCCCTCAGTGGTTCCTCTCAGGGTTTGTGTTCCCAGCCCCTCTCCAGCCCCGTTGCTTCCTCTGGACGCGCTGCAGCGTCTCAACGTCCTTCCCAACCTGAGGGGCCAGAGCTGGACACAGCACTCCAGGTGTGGCCCCACCAGTGCCAGCTACAGGGGCAGAATGACCTCCCTGCTCCTGCTGGCCACACCATTCCTGATCCAGGCCAGGAGCCCTTGGCCTTCTTGGCCACCAGGACTCACTGCTGGCTCATGTTCAGCTGGCTCTGGACCAGCACCCCCAGGTTCCTTTCTGCCTGGGCACTGTCCAGCCACACCGTCCCCAGCCCAGAGCACTGCAGGGACTATGGTGGCCAAAATGCAGGACTGGGCACTTGGACATGTTAAACTTCATCTCCTTGGACTCTGCCCATCCATCCAACCATGGCAGGTCGCCCTGCAGAGCCCTCCTGCCTTCCAACAGATGGACACAGCTCCCAGCTCAGTGTCCTCTGCAGATTTCCTAATGAAAGCCTCAATCCCCTCATCCCTGTGGTCAGTGCAAACACTGAGCAGAGCTGGCCCAGCACAGAGCCCTGAGGGACACCCCTGGAGCCTAGCCCCAGCGGGATGCTGCACCCTCAGCAGCACTCTCTGGGCCGGCCTCCAGCCAGGTCTGAGCCCAGCACAGAGTGCTCAGTGCCAGCCCTGGGCTGCAGCTTTTCCAGCAGTGAGCTGTGGGAGACAGGGCCAAAGGCCTTGCTGGAGCCCAAACAGACACATCCCCAGCCCTTCCTGCACCAGCAGCAGGGTCACCTGCTCATGGAAGGAGACCAGGTTGGTCAGACATGCCCCAGCCATGCTAAACCCCTGCTGGCTGGCCCTGATACCCTGGCCATCCCCTGAGTGCTGCCTGAGCTTCTCCTCATCTGCAGTTACTGAGTTCCCTCCTGCATCCAAAAGAGAACAAAAGCTGGTCCTACCCTCCCTTTTACCATTAATATATTTGTACAAACAGTTTTTATTGTCCTGTACAAAAGGTGCCAAATTAAGTTCAAACGGAGTTTGGCTTTACTAATTTTTTTCCCTAGATACCCTAGCAGGCCCCTGAAGTACTTCCTGAGAGACCTGACCCTCCTTCCAAAGCTGATGAGTCCTCTTTTATTTCTAGAGTTCCTTCAAAACCTCATTGCCCATCCAGGCTGGATGTTTGCCTCATTGAGTCATTTTTTTTTGGCACACAGGGACAGTCTGCTCCTGTGCCCTCAAGATCTCTGTTTTGAAGCATGCTCACCTTTCCTGAATTCCTTTGTTAATGGCAGCTTCCCAAGGAACTTTCAGAATAAATCTCCACAATACACCAAAGTCTGCCCTCAGGAAGTCTAATGTAAAAATTTTATTGGTGTTCCTCCTGCTTTGGCCAAATAGGGAGAACACTGTAATTTCATGATGACCGTCCCCCAGGAGGCCTCCAACCAGCACATCTTCCTCCATCCCATGACCATTTACAAACAAGTAGAGTAACAGAGCTCCTTCAGCAGATAGGTTCCCTCAGTGTTGACTCTGGAAACAGGCCCTGAGTGCCCTGAATTTTGACAGTGCTCCCTTCCAGGTTCTCATGTGTCCAGGCAACATGCCGTGTCTGCAGCTGGACTGAGTGTGACATTTTTCTGTTCGCCGGGCTCCCTGCCAAACTTTTCCCCCTGGCAGCCGCTCTCAGCCGTTCCTCGCCACGCCTCCATTGGCTGCTTCCCCGTGCGCTGATTGCCAAAATCCAGTCCCCACCCCCGGATGGACGGATAATAAACAGGGGTGGGGGTGCCGCGCCTGCCAGCGGACTGGTATGAGTTACTACGGAGCGGCGGCGGCACCCGGAGCCCGGCGGCGGCCCCAGCCCAGGTGGGACCCGCGGTCGGTGCTGCCCCAGCCCGGGGCTCGCTGGGGCGGAGGGGCCGCGCTGAGGGGCACGGGGGGTTCAGGCGAGTTCCTTGTGGCGGCTGCCCCCGTGTCCCCCCTGCGCTGGGATGGCCGAGGGAGCGGCTGCCCGCGGTCTCCTCCGTGCCCGGATGGCCGGGCTGGAGCCGGTGCCGCGGCAGCGCTGCCTCATCCCGGCTGCTCCGGCTGGGACGGAGGCGGCTGCTCCGTGCCCGGGGCAGCTCCCGGCCGTGCGGCACCGGGCTCGGGGCCGCTGCCCCGAGGGGCGGGAGGTGTCCGTGCCCGGCTCGGGGCTGGCCCGGCGTGAACTTGAAGGTGCCTGGGAGCCCAAAGCGCTGCGGGCGCCGAGCGGGGGCAGAAAGCGCCGCATCCTGCGGCTGCGGGCACCGCGCAGCTCCCGCAGGCTGCGCTTGTCTCCGCAGCTGCTGCCGCAGCTCTGGGCAGCGGGGACAGCGCAGCCAGAGCTGGCAGCGCCCTCCTGAGCCTCGGGCTGCCGCAGGGCCGGCACCAGCAGCGACCTCTCTGCGTGTCCCTTGCAGGGTGCCAGCAGCGCGGCTGCAAAGCTGCTCCCGAGGCCGAGCT